GAAGCAAACGTTTGACTACTTTTAGCTTTTAGTTACTATTTTGCTACTTGTAGTTTTAAGCAAACGTTTGGCTACTTTTAGCTTTTAGTCATAGTTTTGTTGCTTTTGCTACTTTGAGCCAGAATTTTGTTGCTAAGTTTAATTTTGCTAATTTAATTTAATTTTTTTACATTTGATCTATTCTGCACGTTTGCTTTTAGCTTTGGTTTGTTCATTTTTGTTTAGCTGTGGTTTTGCTCATTTAAGCTCTTAACCATTTATTCCATTTCAACTATTCATTATGATTTTGCTAACTTTACTATTATCTTTGTGCATTTTAGCTTCTAGCTATGTTTTTCAAATGTTAACTTTCAGCTGTAGTTGTGATGGTTTGGTCTTTCAGATACAGTTTTGCTAATTTTAGTTTATTTTCTGCTCGGTTTACTTTCAACAGTTCAGTTTTGGCTTCTTTAACAAATTTCAGCAGTCATTAAGCGCACAGAATTTTAGCAGAAAATTAATTTTGTTGTGACTGATTTAAAAAGTTGTCCTGGAGTGGTTTTTAGTTTAGAGTTCATCGTGTTACACGCCCGTCAGTGCCCCCACAGCAGCTGATGTTTCCAGCAGAATAATGGTGGTGGTGTTCGTGTGTGCAGGAGGAGCAGTTTGCAGGCCTGCTGCAGGACCTTCAGCAGCTCACCGAGGCCTACAGCAGCAGCCAGAACAAAACCCGGCCCGCCGAGCAGCCTCACACCAACAGCAACTGAGCTCCGACACAGACGACGAGTTCAGCTTCAGCATAAATGCCCAACGTTTGTGAAACCTACAGGATTTATTGCATTTCAACTTCTTTATTTTCTACCGACTTATAAACTGTTTAGATAAATAAACAACGTCACGTCAGATTCTGCTCTTGTCCCATTCCACCATCTTTGTTTACAGTCACACGACTCCAGCCTCCATGTGGTTTTCACACTTTGTTTACACAGAATCTTAAAAAACTACTGGAGTAAATTACTTTGAACAGCACCGTTTATACGTTTTGACTTCACAGAGCGCCTTTTACGACCAATCTGGGTCCAGGTGGGACTTTATTTTGTGTCCATTTCTCGACCAGTCTGCCATTTCAGGACCCTAGATTTGATTAAATTAAAGAATCACAAACGATTCTGCTTTTGAACCACAAAAAACAGTAATGACCATGACCTCTGACCCTTAGGTCGTCTCTCAGAACAACCCCGAACTGGGTTTCGACCCGACAAACGTCTTATGTTTCTACACATTCATTGTCATAGAACTCTTAGTCACTGAGTTTGATGCTTACACATTTCATTTAAGCTTTTAATGAAGAAAAACTTCTTTATAAAAAGTTAAATTTGCTTGTTTGTTTCTCTCAAGTCTTCAGTTTCTTTGTTTCCTTTCCTTTAAGGTTAATTTTCTTATTTTAAGTTTGTTTAGCTCAGCTGTGTTCTGAGCTTCAAGCGTTTGAAGTTGACTTTTGAAGAGGCTCTAACAAAACTTCTCAGTGGGCCACAGTTTTCGAAAGTCAGCCGCTCAGGGGCCCGACATCCAGCAATTAAAGTCATTATGTAAATAAACCAAGTGTTACAATGATCCGTTATCTTTTAATTGTATTTATTTTGTTGCATCGAATCATAAATGCCTGTGATGGACTTGCGACCCGTCCAGGGTGTACCCCGCCCCTCGCACAGTGATTGCCAGACATGGGCACCGGCGACCCCCGTGACACAAAATGGAAGAAGTGGATAGAAGATAATGGATGGATGTATAAATTGTCATTGGTGGGCCGGATTGAAGTCACCGGCCCGCGGGCCGCCAGTTGAATAGCCCTGCTCTATCGCTTTAGACAACCGTACCTTATCTTCAATCCTTGATCAGCTATCAAATAGACTGTCGTTTGAAGCCTGTGAGGGGGGTGTGGTAGTTTGGTGGTCAGTGCCGCGGTCTTGTAATGTCGAGGTTGCGGATTAGAGCAGATTGTGTCAAAAAGAGCAGCCATTTTAAAACGAATTGATAAATGTTTCATGCGAGTTCGCTTGCTGTGGTGACCCCTGAAGAAGGAGCAGCCAAAAGAAACGTACTATTTGGAAATCAAAGTCCGTAGACCGCATCAGGCCAGGATTCTGCGGTCTACACTCATCTCCAGGCCAGCGGTCACTCTTTCAGGGATGAAGATGTTCACAGCCTGGACAGAGAGGAACGATGGTTTGAGAGAGGAGTAAAGGAGGCCATCTTTGTGAAAAGAAACCGTCCATCATTAAACAGGGGTGGAGGCCTCCGGGTTCAACTGTCCCCCTCTTACAAT